ATACAAACCAGTTAGAATATACACTGGATTTTAAAATGAAGTAATAACAGGAAAAAATATAGGCACAAAGCTTACAACTGGAATGAGCTGAAAGGCTCTGACAACTTTCTGCACCCACGTGACTCCAACTTCCACCCAGCCTGTGAACCACGGTTACAAAACCTGCGCAAATTGGTCAGAGCAACTCAGGGAGCTCAAGATATTTATCCAGGAAAGTATGAAAGGAGGTCAGAATTCTCTCTTCAAAAGGGACAGGACTCAAGAGGTGAGGCTTTGTAAGGAACATCTGGAAATAAAAAGACTTAGGGATAAAAATTAAATTTGGGTTTCTTCTTGAGAATATTTTTCAGAAACTTCCCCCAATCCCCAAAGCAGCAGAAGTACTTGACCTCACAAAGCACTTGGGGATTTCTTTCAGGGCAGGGTGGCAGTGTCCTGTGGTGACAGCAGCCCAGTGCTGGATCAGAGAGCAGATGCTCTCCATCCCACCCGCCCTTCGCTGTGCTCTGCGACTCCTGTTCCTATTACATGAGCAAACTCTTCCATAATTCTACTTTACTTTTTCTTCTTAGTAACTTCCTGTTTGTTCTCCTGATAAATACCAGAACTTCAGCTAAAAATGGAGAAGTTGCCTAGATTCTCTTATCTCCTAGAGCCCCAGCCGTGGTGTGCTGCGGTTGGGCCCTGGCAGATCCCCCAACGGTCAGAGGCGCTGGGCTGGGCTCTGCTCTGTCCTTCTGGCAGCACTGCTGCCCCACACACACAGCAGCAAGCAGCTCTGCCCCACCAGCTTCTGCCATAGGGTACAATAATTTACACCTCTATTTGTCTTCTCAGACCAGACACTCCAGGAAGGAGCGTGGTAGGAAGTGCAAGGCTACATTTTCCAACATGAGCTCCATTTGGGACTCTTGTTCTAGAGATGCTGACAAGGAATTTTGATTTTCAACAATGTTTGAAGAAACCAGTCACTCAAGTAAAGTGGGAAACTTGCCCTTTTTTGAGCAAGTGGTCTTCCCTCATCAGTTTGTATAGTGCTGAAGATTAAAAATAGCGCTTCAGCTGGGGTACAGCTGCACAGCGTTAACTCAAATGGAGCTGCAGTGACTCACAACAAGCAAACATCTGGATGTGGCCCTTTACTACTGCAAACCACACAACACCAACAGCAAGTAAACACTGGCAGGGCATTCAGAGGAGCTACTGCTGCTGTTCCACACTGTCAGTGCGACAAACAATGGGACAGCAATTTGAGGAGAAGTTGCAATTAGCTGTGTGTTAAAATTCCCATCTCCTCCTCGTTGTCAGCACCTGAGCAATGTGTCTTCTCAATAGCACTGGTCTCGTATTTCATTAGACATTCTCTGGCCTTCTTCTATGTTGTTTTTCCTTTCATTGTGACTTTTTGCACTAGCTGTGACAAGTCCTTTGTTTCCAAGGCCATGAAACCATTCCTTCCTTCCACCTCCTCCAATAAATAAACAACAAATAATAACAGTCAGTGATCAGATAAATTTCCACATGAAAACTGTCAAGGAGCCAGCTATTCAATGCTGACAATACAGAACTGGGATGGATGTACTCAGCACCAATGTAAGGAGCTGTGAAACCCATCAAATTTGAAGCAGATTCCCCCCATTACACCTAATTTCCTGCAGAGGCTGGTATTCACTGATCCACTAACATCAACAGCAAAAATCTTCAGTGGCTTTTCCTCCTGTGGGGCTGAACGTCAAACAGTGACTGATACTTAACATTTTTGGTCTAGAGCAGGATGGACTTCACCTCCATCACCACCACTTCTTAGTTTTTGTCAGCAGCTCCTTCCTCCGTCTCCTGCCCCATAGCCAGCTTCCCCCAGCTCTGGCTGCTCCCTGGCATCCCTCAGGCCCACGCAGACCTGGTGGGTGAGAAAAGCTGGAACCAGGTGGGGAAATGAAAGCAGCACAGCCTTCGGGTCACGCTCAGAGGACAAAGGACTGCAACACACACCAAATACTCTCCTGGGAGACTCCTTGCACAACAGCCTCTATAGACAGGCTGACGTGGTGGTTTCATGGTTCAAGTATCAGAGTGAGAGAAAAGCATTGCCCATGCCATTAAATCACTATTAGAGAATTTGCCTGATGTAGCTCACTATTAAGAGTATCTGCCTGATGTAGCAAGGCTCCCTGTGCTTCCTAACGAATTCTTTGTGTTTAGCATTAAGCTCTCTGTTTTTACAGAAACTCACACTAGGGTAATTAATCTCATGTTCGTTTCCTGCACATGCAAGAGAGCAGCCTTTGTTAGGGAATGATAAGACACTTCTAAGAATAGTGTTACTAAGAGCATCGGCTTTGTAAGACATTGCAGGAAAAATATAGACTCTTAACACCTGCTTTTCACTTGCAAAGTTTTGAAAATAATGTTCTGCTTACCCAGAGGCAAATTCTGACTTGTTTATGCGTAGAAAACCTAATTGCTTTCACCAGACAACAACAAATATAAATGAAGGTATACTTTGGTCTTTAGGCTCCAGTCTTGGAAAGAATAATTTGTTTAATTTTATAAACACTGCAGATATTCCCAGTGGCTTCAGCGGGACTATTGCAGTTCCCAGTCCCCCAGCCTGAATTCATTGGTTTTTCTGATCTTTTAACCACATATTCCACTGAAATTAAATGGATTTTCTTAGTGATAGATGTAAAGGATGAAGGATTAAGAATTTATCTGTGCGTAAAACACTGGGCCCTCAGGTCAGCCCTTACAAAGGCCGGATGCTGAACTCAGGAAGGTGCGGGCAGATGAGCTGGGCAGCGTGCGGAGGTGCGGAGCAGCGGGCCGGGCTGGCACCCGAGCTCCCTGCGAGCCGCGCACGCAGGGCGGTGCTGAGCGCGGGGATTTCTTTATGTGCGCTGCCAGGCCAGGGCCAGGGCCAGAGCCAACACCGCTCTCCTGCAAGCGGCTGACACTTGACACCCAGTGAAGTCAGTTTAAACAGGCATTGTTTTAAAGCTCCGTTGTTTTTAAGCAGTCACCGTGGCTCAGCCCGAGCTATCTGCTGCCCCAGTGCAAGATGCACCAGCTGCCATGATGGTGAAACTCTACAAAAATAGAGGAGAATTGGTTTGCAGCAGGTGAGAGATAATTTCCATTTGGTTTGTGGCATCCACTGTGTAACCAGTCATGTGAGAAAGGACATTAAGCTTTGCTGTACTTGCACCAGATTTCTTTCTGCTTTATTATGGACAAAGGACTACCTTATCCTCCTAACCAGAAAACAAAGCTTAATCTGCAGAGATCTGGCTAATCTAATGGTGTTTGGAGAATAACATAGACCACATTTCCCCTGGTTTTGTAGTGCAAAATCTGAGCAGAGCAGACTGCAAGTAGCCTTGTGAGCTGATCAGAGCCCCTGTTGTGACTATTATCTTCACTGTATAATGGGGGCTTTCAAATCCCAGCTTTATCACATTCTGTTTTCTCTACTTTGCCCTTTTATGAATATTGAGTCATCAAAAATAGCTTCACTGACAGAGTTACTAATGATACCAGCTGGGTGAATCAGTGGCTCTTACACTGTGCCTGCCATACAGTGCTATTAGTACACTCGTTACAAAATATAGCAAAAATGAGATGCCCATAATTTATTTGCAGCTCCCATGAGACATATCACAGTAGTTATTTTAGAATTGGAAAATGCTAACTGAACAAAGCAAATATTCAGCCACTTCAACGCAATACTGTGGCCTACAGGAAGAAACTCTGGCTGAGAATAAGTTAAAAATAATCCCAACATCAGTAATTATCCTTTCTGCTAGTTTTTAGCCAAAGAAAAAACACACTACCAAATGATATCCACCATATTCTTCCACTGTGAAGACAGTTCTGCCTCACATTACCGGGAAAAGCTAAGATCAGCACTCCAGAGAAAATGCTGATAAACAGAAGTGAATACGACAAATGATGTAAGCTGTGCCCAGGGCTGGAGCGCCAGAGCCACGGCCAGGGGCATCCTTCGAGTACGGAGCAGAGCTCCGGGGGAAGCCAGGTTACAAGGGCATGACTCAAACGGGTATTACCGGCTCCAGAAGTGTCACAGCAGAACATAACAACATGCCTGATGAAGAACCATCACAGATGAGCATGCAAAATGGCCCATGAGGGGCTTATATTGTTAATGCTGTCCCAAGAAAATTTTAAGGGTCATTTATTCCTACCCGGAGTGCTTTCTTCGCACCCTTGCAATGAGACAGTTTCCTATGTTTGCAACACACATCCTTTTTTTTTTTTTTTTTTTTTTTTTTTTTTTTTTTTTTTCCCCAGACAAACAGGCAAGCAGATAGAGAATGAAACAAGGGGCCCATAGTGCAGTTGCAGATCTCCATGCAGGGCTCGCTTCTTTTCCCCAGCCCCCTTCACCTTTCAGCTATCAGGAACTTTACAGCACAGCATCTTCCAGCATCTCTTTATCACAGACCAAAAAGCTTTCTGAAGCTTTCTGCTAACAGCTGCATCTGACATTAGTAAATAAAACTATTGCATGTATTGCCTTTAGCAAGTGTAATAGAAATTACAGAGCATCTTAACAAAACCAAGCCTCAGAATGTCAATTACTAGAATTTTGGCTGTTGGGGTTTGGGTTTTTTTTTCCCCTTTCCTTTTAGGATGTTCTTGTCCGTCCCTGGAAAAGTGACATCTGCAATTCTATTACAACAATTCTGTTAGTTACGGCAACGTTAACTGAAACCGAAATGTGGTTTTTAACCTAAAATATGTTGCATAACAGCTGAAGTGCTGTAATCTTACGAGCCGGGAAAGGTTAATTCCAGAGGGCACAAGAATGTCGGTGGAAACTAAAATACTCCATCAGCGCATGGACTTGGAATTCTTTTTGTTTTGGTCCAAGGCGAAGCCGAAACGGGCGAGAGATTTCAAAGGAAGAGTCAGACAGCGAGCACACGCCGAAATCCCTTTAGCGAGAAAAAAAAAAATATCAGCAAAGCCTCTGCACTTACGTATCTCTTGAGTTTCTTCTCGGGGGGTGATTTGATGAGCCAGCCAGTGCAAACCACGTCCCCCGAGCTCATCTTCCCCCCGGGCGCGGAGCGGCGGAGCGGGAGCCAGGGTGCGGGCTGCCAGTGCGTGTGTGCTTGTTACGGGCGGCTGTGTGTCCGTCCGTCCGTCTGTCCGCCCGTCCGTCCGTGCGTGTGTGTGCTGGGATGCGAGTGCGCGTATGTGTGCTGGGATATGAGTGTGCGTGTTTGCTGGGATGTGAGTGTGTGTGTGTGTTTGCTGGGATATATGAGCGTGTGTTTGCTGGGATGTAAGTGTGTTGTGTGTGTGTGTGAGTGTGTGCGGACGCGTGTGCCCGGCAGTGCCCGTGTGCGTGCCGTGTCCGCCCGAGTGTGCGCCGCTGCGTGCGGGCGTGTGTCCGTCCGTCCGTGCGGCTCTGTGTGTGTGTGTGTGTGTGTGTGTGTGTGTATTGTTCCCAGCCAGTTCGCACCGCAGCAATCAGCTTCCTTCAGCTGCGCTCTGCCGCTGCTCCAGCCCGCGGAAGAAGTCATGACATTGATCACTGACACGGCCAGCCCTCCCTCCGCCGCCAGCACAATGCAACACACCGAGCACGTGATGGGCGCCCGGGGCTCGCCGCCGCCGCCTGCGACACCCCCGGCAGCGGCAGCGGCAGCGGGCGGCTCCCGCACCCGGCCCACATCGCCCCGGCCAGTCCGGCCCGGAGCACCGGGATGCCCCCTGTCCCGGCCCGGAGCCCCGCGGGTACCGGCGGTCCCTGCCCGGAGCCCCGCGGGTGCCCCCTGTCCCTGCCCGGAGCCCCGCGGGTACCGGCGGTCCCTGCCCGGAGCCCCGCGGGTGCCCCCTGTCCCTGCCCGGAGCCCCGCTGGTGCCCCCTGTCCCTGCCCGGAGCCCCGCGGCCGAGCCGTGGCAGCGCCGGAGGCAGCGGTGACCGCGGAGGTCCCTGCGGGGACCCGGCACGAGAAGGGCTGTGGCCGCAGCCGGAGGCAAAAGCAGGGCCAGTCCCCACTGAAACCTCCACTACAGCTTCCGACATCTAACAAGCTTCGTTAGTCGGTGGATTTAGTGCTGTTTCCAGTAGCATTAAGCCCCCTGTACGAATTTAATAGGAATAAACTTGATTTTTCTGCTCTCATCATCACAGATTTTTTAGAAACATACTTTTTCAGAAAGTGACTTCAAGGAGACTGCCACTCCACTGTCACAACTAAAAAATACGCCCACAGAGTGCATAATATTGCTGATATCCTTGTAGTCTGTGCCTCTTTCCAGGGTGGGAAACTCTTGCCTTTTCAAGGACAGGGCAATCTGTGCTCATTTTTCGGAAGACTTTTTAAACTCTGACTGATTTAAAGAGGACGCAGTGGTTCCTCACGAGTCTGTTACTTAGAGGAGTCTGTCGTGGCCCTGGCCAGGCAAGCACTCACAGAGCAGCCTGGCTCTGCAAGGTGTGATCAGCACCAGCACGCCCATGGCAGAGTTTAATCTTTTCACAGAATTTTTCATGTCTCTGCTGGGGCTCTTTGGCAGGGCAGGCTGACAACAGCTTGCAGTGTCACTTCTTGAATCTCACGAACTAGAAATGTGTTTTTCAAGCTTTTAAGCAGAAAGGTGATCGCAATATGTATTTATTATATTTAATATAATATGTACTATGAATGACATAACTGTATAAATATAGGCTCTATGTAAATTCACATAAAAATATAAATAATTCTGCACAAACTCATAGATTCATGTTGCTAGTGCTTTACATTATCACTGGTCTTGAATCCTACAGTAAATGAAAACTGCTATGAATAAACCACAAACATATTTCAAATGTGCTCTGACTTTTTTGGATATGTTTTTGTTTGAGAATGGCTTTCATGCAGTCTTGCAGTATTATTCGATTTCAAACCTTCTATTCTACTACCACCTTCACTCAGCTCCATTTATCCATTATCCACAGTGATGTTTTAACAACTTCACATGTTTAATAGCAGGTTTGTGAACAAGGCTTTGCAACACTTCTTGGAGAGATATATCCAGCCATGGGACTTATTTAGGGAAAGAAAGTCACACTTTCCTTCCATATGTGACTTGCCTGTGTCACCCTGACAGATACAGTAGCCTAGAACTAAAGGCTATAAAATGTCCAAATGTCAAAATAAAATGAGTTGGGATACACTTCGTGTGTTATTCCTGCACTATCCTAGCAATATCCATTTTTTACTGGATCATGCTTCAGACAGATGGCTTCCCTTGTGCAGCTGCATAACCACTTGCAGAAAGGCAGCAGAGGGAATGGGGAGGGGACAGGACAGGGGAAAAAGGAGCCTGGGCTACCAAACGAATTCAAACATTGAATAGCAGGCCAGAGCCCTAAGGAGAGCCTGGCTCTGTCTTTGCTGTGGTCAGTGACAATGCTGCTGAACTGACCAGCAGTCCTTGTCCCTGCACTTCTGCCATCAGCTGCACTGCACAGACATGGTGTATTTCTGTGTCTGCATGAGGAACTGAATCACAAACCCACTGTTTGGAAAAGAATGAGTCAAAAAAAGGAGAGAAATTATTTTCCAGCTGTATCAGGACTAGTTTCCTGATCTGATAACTGTTGTGGCCTGCAATAGCACGTACCTTATCAAGGGAGGGGGTGATGCAGGGGCAATAAGAAGAAATCAGCAGTTGCTTAAATTGGCACTTGTGCCCAAAACGCGCCTGCTGAGTGGTAGCCATGGTGACAGGGAGGGGTGCAGTGATTCTGTTCCCTGCTCCGTGTGTCACTCCTCTGTCACAGCCTCCTGTCCTCTCAACTGCTGGAATGGCTCAGCTGCCTGTGAAGCACCTGCCTGGGCACTTGCACTCAGCGCATTCAGAATAAATAAAATCTTGCCAGCTTACTTATGATGCCAGTAGCCTGAGGAGAAATACAGGAAGCCATAATTAAGCAGAGCATGTGGGGGTTAACATGTTTGTTATGAAAGCTGCTGTTGCCTTCTTGGTATTTGAGCTCCAAACATTAAAAGAGCAAATAAAGTTATTTTCTTACACTGACAACATTCATTGTGCTGATAATGTATCACTCACGCACGTGTTTGACAATAACAGGCTTAAAAATTAATGGTTTCTCATCCTGATGGAAGAAGAGGGATTTCACTTTCACTCCTGATCCATGCACAAATTTTTCAGCCACATTTAAATAATAAAATTATTTTCTTAAATCCATCATCATGATGGTGAATAACAGGGTCTTTGTTTTAAAAATCTTACAGCTGAAAACATATGTAGAGGGCGAACTGATGTTGGAAATAGAATGGAAAGTTCTCATTCCTCTCTTCTACTGCTGAACAGGTTGTTTTTCCCCTTCCTAAGAACATTATCCAGAGGTGCTACACTGTCACGGATCAGCTTGGCCTTGGCCAGTGGCATGTGTGTCTTGGAGCTGGCTGGTCATGGCTCTGTTGGACATGGAGGGAGCACCTGCCAGCGTCTCACAGGTGCCACCCCTGCAGCCCCTCTGCTGTCAGAACCTTGTCACACAAACCAACACCGCCCTCCCCAGACTAACCTCCGTGTGCCACTGGCAAAGATCAGTTTGACCCTGGGTGTGTGCGCAATTCACATCAGCCAGATCCCTGAGAGAATTCTCTGCTTGCCACGGCAGTACTGGTGTGCTCCTTTCATTTCCTAACTTAGGTCACCGATGTTTCAGAGGAAAACGACACTAATAAAGCAGAAGAGAACAAAACGGCTACTTGCATTGATGGGAATCTCCTTCATGACTTGACAGACCACTGATAGAAGTTAAGTCTGCTATTTAGGCTTATCCATTTCTATGTTGCACAGCAACTGGTGCTGTTATCATAAATTTTGAGAGTAGTGATAGCTCTTATTTCCTTGTGCACAAATGGATAATCAGGATGGAGAGGATGGAAAAAATCAGAAAGATTTATTTAATTCACGAATTTATAGCTATAAAAGGAGAAAGAGATGCCAGAGTTATCTCAACTGACATTTCCACAAGCAGATAGCTTTCTGAGAATCTACCTCACATTTAATTTACAACACCATGCATGCATTGAGAAGGCTGAGGTGCATGCAAGAGACAGCCACAGCCCTGGGAGAACAGCCTTTTCCTCTCAGCGAGCAACTGATCCCTGTTTACACATGGAACTCGCAGCACACTTACTCAGCAGAATGCTAACATGCCTCTGCAGCGTTCTCTCAGCAAGCAGAGGAGCCCAGTGCCACAAAAAGCCATGACACAGTATATATGTTCCAGCTGCTCCTGACAGTTACCACTCCGCTCCCCCCCGCAGACAAGCATTTCTCTCTCTCTCTCTCTCCATTCACAAGGACAAATTTAGCAAAGTCACGGGATAATTCAGCCCCTGCTCTTCCTTTCAACAGCTTGTCCTCACCATACAAATCAGGTCTAAAGGAGGAATGCACTCAGACCCTCAGAGTCACGATTTATTGCTGTTGTTTAAACAATTAACTACCAGAACTGGAGCCTGCCCACAGGCCCAGGGTGGTGCTGACCCCTCTGCACTGTGCAGTTTGATTGATGAATGCATTCTGCCTGGTCTGTGCTCTGTCACCCCAGGACCTTGGTGGCAGTGGCACCCCATGGGCAGACACCTGATTTGGGAGCAGGGGCCATTGAGAAAAGAAAAAAGACAGCAGATGAACGTTGCTGTGGTTTTGCTCCAGGAAGCTCTGAACTGTGTAAGCTGTGTGTGGGGACGGCCTTTATTGTTGTGGACAGGGCAGAATCTAATTTTACCAAAAGGCTCTCATGACACATAGGGAGAACTCTGTCAGTCCCTTTCAGAAAACAGACCAACGCCCTCTGGCACTAACCTCCCCTGTGAAACAGCAGCAGACATCCAGCATCTCGTAGCAAAGTCCCCTGTTTAGGAAAATAGCTGGTGGAAGAATGGAGTTCTGCTGAATAGTGAACTGCTGAATAGTGAAAAGTTTACAAATGTTAAACTTTTTCTGAAGTGGGAATGGCAACAAACAGGTTCACTTTGGTTCAAACCTCTGCCCTGGCTCTTCTGCCAGATGAGAGGTTTCTCTCTTCTCTGTCATCCACAAAAGCATGCATTAAAAATTGTGTATTTGCTAATTTTCAGCTTCTGTTTTCAGACTAGTAAACAATTTTATGATGTCTACACAGGTGATGAAGTAAGTAATGGCAGTTCCTTTCCACATGTGAATCACTAGCAAACATT